CTGCGGCGGGTGGAGCTGGGCACCTGCCCGCGCGGTGCTTTGCCGCCCGCGGCTCTTCCTCACCTCTCCACTCGCACTTCATCTCCTTGTTTCCCTCCCACCCCTGTCCACTGAGCTGCAGCCCTGCAGCAAGCCACGATCCTGCTGCCCTTCCTCATCAGATCTGAGGGCCCTAATGCCCTCTCGTGGTCACTTCTCTGCTCCAGGCTCCTTCCCCCTTGCCCCCCTGCTTGGCCAAGCAGTGCCCGCAAGGTGCCCAGGCTTGCTGGTGCTGTTGACGGGGTGTGGGGGCTCTGGCTTGTGCGGTGCAGCGTTGAGGACCCTTGCGCCGCACCGTGCTCTGACACGGTCATGCTGTGTCCTGCCTTGCAGGGAGTAACTCTCACGCTGTGGTCAACCTGTGGTCTCTCCCGAGGGGGCCTCTATGGAGAGTGGCAGGGAGTCATCTGCACGGGAGAGAACAGCTCGCAGGTCCAGGTGGGTGAGCGGCTCCCGCTGGGGCTCCCCGTGCAGCCGGGGTGTTGGTATGGAAGGAGCAGAGCACGCGGCTCCTAGCGACTGCCGTGGAGCTGGAGGGGGCAGAACAAGCGTCCCTGGTGTTGCTGTAGCTGTCAGAGGAGTGTGGAGCTCTGCAGGGGTAGGGGCCCCGCTGGGGTGGAGGTGAATGGAGGGATCTCCTGCCCAGACCCATGTCCCTGAGTGCCTCCCCGTGCTCTTGTTGCAGAAGTACCTGCAGCAGCTCTGGAACACCATCTTGCTCGTGGCCCTGCTCCTCTGCACGGGGGTGATCGTGCAGGCCCAGCGGCAGTCTCGGCAAGGCCTGTTGGAGCAGGATACTGAGGTGGGACAGACTCCTCTGCTTTTCTCATGCTGGAGAGATGCAGCCAGGGCCTGACCCTCTGCTCTGCCTTCACAGCTGGACCTGAAGCAGCACATCGTGCAGCGCCTCTCAGCCTTGAAAACCCGGCGATACCATCCGGGCAAACCACTCCAGAACCAGGCCTGCGAGATCGACAGCTGTGCCGTGTGCTTGGACCAGTTCCACAAGAGCCAGGTAGGGCTGCAGGGCAGCTCGGGGCTGCAGGGGGAGCCTGGAGCCAGCCCTGATGGTGCCACAGCTGGGACTGACCAGTGAGCGTGATCCCTTTGCTTGGTTCTGGCCTGGTTCCGCTTCTCTGGAGCTGCCTGGCTTTTGCCTATGGGTCTGGCCCTCCTCTTGTCTCAGCTCGTAGAGGCTGAGGTGTCCCCACAAGGAAAATGGGACACACAGGATGGGGCACTTGACTGCTTGTTGTGACGGGCAGAAATGTGGCCCTGCTAACCTAGTCGCTGCACCCTGCCCACCCTGCTCATGTCTCCTCTTTGCTTCTCCCCACAGTGGCTGCGGGTGCTGCCCTGTTCGCACGAGTTTCACCGGGACTGCGTGGACCCCTGGCTTCTCCTGCAGCAGACCTGCCCTCTCTGCAAGCACAACATCCTGGGTAAGAGCAGCTCCTGGCCTGGAGCCTCTGTCTTCCTGGTGCCCCGTGTCTCCTGCTATATGTTCCCAGAGTGGCCTTGGTTGGAGGAGGGCTGCCTCCGACCTCTGGGAACAGGCAGAGAGAGACAAACACAGCAAAGCACCTCTCTGCTGGGCTCTGAGGCCCTCTGAACCCATCTCAGGGGCCTGGCTGTCCCACTGCGGTCACCAGGGAACGTGTTTGTGCCAGAGTGAGGGCCAGGGAGGAGTCGTTGCCAGCCAAGGGCTGTTCTCTGCTCCCAGCGTCCCTGTGTGACAGCCCTCCCTCATTCTGCCTTGCAGGGAACTGCTGCGGAGAGACCTAGCAGGCCTGATGGACGCGCTCCAGGGACGGATCCGCCGCTGCTCCGGGAAGAGCCAGGGACAAGGAGGGGGCAGGGAGAGGCCCAGGGCGCTGTGCTGCAGCGGGGCAGCCCTGCTGCTCGAGCCCAGCCGGGCTGTGCCCTTCGCCGCATCCTGGCAGCACCAGCCGGTGCCTGCCCGTTGGGAGACAGGAGCGTCCTGGCACTCTCCCCACTTGGGATGCGTCGAGGGGGCGGGGGGGGACATGTTGGGGCAGTCTGCACGGCCGCTGCTGGGGTTAGGGGCAGTGGGGTGGGGAAAGGAAGCTGTGGGCCCCCCTGGGCGTAAGGGGAAACAGGCTATAGACAGAATGTGAAGGCCCTAAATGGGAGAGACCTGGCCCGGCTGCTCCCTCTCCCCACTTTGTAATAACCTCCTCCTTTTCTAAGTCTCTTTTGTATTTGCTGGGGCTGCAGCGAGCCGTTCCCGGGCAGCGAGGGCCGTGCCAGGGCTGGGCAGAGCAGCAGTGCCCAGCGCTGTGCCCGGGGCAGGGGGACGGGGCTGGCAGGGCTGTGGGGCGCCGCATCGCCCCGCTGCTCACGGAGGGAGGGTGGGGGGGTCGGGTGCTTCCTTTATTTATCCTAACTTATTAGAGAGGACAGGGCAAGTTAGCTGCAGAGACTGAGCACAGAGTCACGGGGGTGCCGTGGAGCCGGGAACTCGCCACGAGCCTTGGATGGCTCCTGGTTCCAGGCGGCAGCCAGAGGCTGCTGGACTGAGGCCTCATATGTGTCCACAGCCGCCCGTCACTATTAAATTCAGAGCAAGGAGCAGCCTTCTGTGTCCTGTGTCACTTTGTGCACGTACAGATCAGCTGGATGCAGCTCCCACCACCTTCCCAGCTGGGGCAACCGGGCACCCAGGACGGTCCCCGCGCTGTTTAGCTGACCGAAGGAGCCAGCCCTGTGCCCCATTTCCCTGCGAGGCCTCCCGGCAGCCATGCTGCTCGCTCCCTGGCCGTGATTGCGCGCTGCGTTTCCAGGCTGCCCCGAGGCTTTCCCTCCCAGGCGTTGCTCTGAGCCTCGTGTCAGATGTTGCAGTGACGGTGCTGGGCGCTGAGCAGGGGCGGTAGCAGAGGCCAAAGGGTGCTCTGCTGCATGGAGCAAGCGCAGAGCGGGTTCCGCTGCTCCGCAAACCCAAGGCTTGGCCGGGCTCTGCTCATTTCCCCCCACCCAGCACAGGTGGGAGCAGGGGAAGGGAAGAAAGGCCCGCATCGCCCCAGGGAACATCCCTTCATGTTTGCACCAACAGCTAACAAGCTCCTGTGGGCACAAAAGGCAGCTCTGTGTTGCTCATCAAGAGCTTTGTGTCTCTGTTAGTCCCTTGAGCTCCATCTGTGGCGGCTCCTGGTGCTGTGGGAGGAGAGGCCGTGCGTGCTGGCCGCGCTGCCCCTGGTCCTGGGCAGGCTGGCGGGGCCGAGCA